AAAGAGTTTACAACTAACTGTTTCAAAGAGTTGACATGTAAGTGTTTCAAAGAATTGACAACTAAATATTTCAAAGAGTTGACAAGTAAGTGTTTCAAAGCGTTGACAGTTAATATATTTCAAAGAGTTGACAACTAAATATTTCAAAGAGTTGACAACTAAGTGTTTCAAAGCGTTGACAACTAAATATTTCAAAGAGTTGCCAAGTAAGTGTTTCAAAGAATTGACAACTAAATATTTCAAAGAGTTGACAAGTAAGTGTTTCAAAGCGTTGACAGTTAATATATTTCAAAGAGTTGTCAAGTAACCATTTCATAGTGGTGACAACTAATTATTTTAAAGAGTTGACAACTAACTGTTTCAAAGGGTTGACAACTAACTGTTTCAAAGGGTTGACAACTAACTGTTTCAAAGAGTTGACAACTAACTGTTTCAAAGAGTTGACAACTAACTGTTTCAAAGCGTTGACAACTAACTGTTTCAAAGCGTTGACAACTAAATATTTCAAAGAGTTGACAACTAAATATTTCAAAGAGTTGACATGTAAGTGTTTCAAAGAATTGACAGGTAATTGTTTAAAAAAGTGGACAACTAACTGATGCAAAGTGTGGACAACTATCTGTTTCAAAGATTTGATGACTAATGTGGTCATAGATTTGAAGACTATTTCAAAGAGCTGACAACTAAAATTATTTCATTGAGTTGACAACTAACTGTTTGAAAGAATGGACAAGTAACTGGTTCAATTTGAAACTAACTTTTTATAGGACAAATGATGATTCAAGCCACAATCAGTGAAATAGGATTCTGTACATTGCATATAAGTGAATTGTAACTGGTTTGAGTTTTTCCAGTTGAATATTTACATTATTTATTAAAATAAAATAAACAAATAAAAACATTTAGATTACTCAAGGGTATGTCAAAGACCACCTGTAGGATGAAAGATAAACATTCAAATCAACATTTATGTACATTTATCTCAAATTTGAATACAAATATTTGATGTGATTGATATTGAGATGAGCCCTGTTGCCGTGGCAATCAGAGGGAGCATCTCACTACAGTAGGAGGCAGTAATACAGCTCTTCAGATAAACATGCAGGCACTTCCGTCATTTTTTGTCTTGATGTGAAAATATATCAGCGTTTGTAGTCGCCACACCTTTGCTCACTGATTAGCTTACGCAAAAAGAAAGAAAGAAGACGTAGATTCCTCGGTGGAATCACAGATAAAAAGTGCCGCCGATCTTCTTCTGTCATAATTCAGACTTGCCGCTTAGGTGGTGAATGCATTTTTTGGCACAGGTTAAGACTGCTGATGTTAAACTTTTTCACATTCTTAAACAGTGAGTTTGCTCTTCTGTGTGGTTTTGATTTCGAGATTTAAAAGAGTGTATAAAAATGAAGAAATAGCATTTTGCTGATGTTACTTTTATTTTGGACAATTTCTTTTTTGGCTTTTACATTGTTATTCCAAGATTTAATTTGTAATTTTGAAGTATCAAAAGAAAATGTAAATTGTTAGTTCATTGATACAGTTTGATTAGATTTTGAAACCAAGATAAATTGGTGCCGGGTTACCCATGCATATAGAACTCACTGATTGCAGATATTGTTATTGGTAACAACTTTGGGAATTCTCTCCCTTAGCATCCCTTGTTTGGAAGTTGACTTATTGTTTTTATTAATGGATAATAACTTGCATTTGTTTCAGCCATCCCCCTTATTGATGTTGGTCTTAATTAGAGTTTGTTTGCTTGCTACACTGGACCTGGCATATAATCTTGTGGCAGTCATGCATAATTTCAGTCTGACAATGATAACTTTGGGTCCTAAGTGCAGATTTCATCCTGGACCAAACATGGATCCAGTGCAATTCAAATGCCTCCATTTTGACCTCAAGACCAGAGCTTAGACCCTGTTATAATGCATGCATGAAAAATACATGTACTACTCAAAACATCTTAATGAACACTCCCAATTAGATGGCTGTGTGTTACAATACCCATCAACCATGACAGATGAATTTTAGTCTTATGAAGACATTGGCATACTTTTACTTTTGAGTACCGGGGTAGTGTACGTTTTCTTGATCTCCTATAAGCCATGGATCTGAAACTGTATGAAGTTTAGCAAAAGAAAATGTTTAAACTGTATGTGTTACCAGTAAATCATTCGCTTTTTAACGAAGCAAACTTGTAGGCAGATGTATTGGAGAATGGTGGTGTGTGGCAATCTGAGCATTGCTTCCACCATGTCTTCTTTCAGGGGGTCCAGGGTGCATTGGATTGAGATTTGAAATTCAATCGATTGCAACATAGTAGTTTTTGTGTGGAGGTGAAATTGATGCTCTTTCCTTTAAAAAATGCCTGGTGTTTGAAAACTTTTATTTTTTTAAATTTTGAACGAAGAAGTTTGGATAAATGTCTTTTGGATGTACCTCAGTTGATTTACAGGCTTTTCATATCTTTGTAAGATGTAGAGAAATTTTATGAGACTTTTAGACGTTTTGTGTGCGGTTTAGGTATATCCCATTCCAGCAGTTGCCACCTTCAGGAAATAAATGTTTCCATGCTGTGCTAGGTGTTGATGATTCAGAACGATACTGCCTTCATGATTCTTGTCAAGCAGGACATGTTTTAATATGAAGAGCAGAAAAACCTAGGTTATCTTGAAGATGTTTTTTTGAAGTAGATTGGAAGTTCTCATTTAAATTTACTTCAGAACAAGTAAATAATAAAATTTGTAAAAAGTATTCTTTTGAAGACATGTGTTGAATGTTTGTAAACATGTAAGCTTGTGTTTTTTACCACTACAGTCTCATTAAAATTAGGTCCCTCTCTGCATGAAGATCGGAGTTTTTTTCTTTGGAGGTCATGTCAGGTTCACATTGTAATCAGCCAATCAGCATCAAGGCTTTCAATTCTGGTTGTGAGTGAGTGAAGCATTCAGACAAGCTTGTCTGATTTCTGTAACACCTGCCTACTGTATCGATACATATCATGATATGATATGATATGTATACCAATACTGAATACTACAATTTGTGCTAATTTTGTATTACCTTGCTAGCAGACAGTTTTTGCAATCAACAAAGATTGTTGTTAACATATATGCATAAACGTATAAGCATATACAATTATGCAATCACCGCCTCCGTGGTCTGGTGGTAGAGCGTCCACCCGGAGAGCGGAAGGTCCGGGGTTCGATCCCCAGCCGCATCATACCAAAAGACGTTAAAAGATGGTACTTGTTGTTACCCTGTCTGGCGCTCGTCATTAAAGGGCTAAAACAAGGACTGGTCGGCTCGGAGTCAGTATACTGTGTCTGAGTGGGGTATTCATATTAAACTGCAGCATGGTATCTCAGTGGGCTAGCACTATAAATCGGCATCAGTCCAGACTAGTACAAGCAGCCACACACACATGTGCATGCATGTTGCTATATAAGTGCAATAATCTTGGACGCGACGTTAAACCCCATTTCACCTCACCAATTATGCAATCAGGTGCATCCTTGGTTTCATAATGGGAGGTAAGGTCATGGTAGACCTAGTTTGTTTCACAAACCCTGAACCATATTATTTTCCCTTCTACCCAGCCCTTTCAGTAATGCAAAACCACTAAATGAAGGAAGTCTAGATTTACTTAGGTTCTCCCAACTCACTGGGCTCCTTTTTCAGTTTAAATGGAGTTATTTGCTTCTATCAAAATTATATGTGTCAGAGACTAAACGTTAGTCTTTGGTAACCCAAGTACATAGGTCAGGCAATTGAAACAAGTCTTTGTAAATAATACCTTTGAAAATCAATACATAATTATAAAATTCTTGATACAAGGGTAGGTGTATTGGTGGTTTATCTAGATCTGCTCCGAGGCCAATATTCATCCCTAAACAATATTCAGTAAAAATTCCCAAATTGGAATTCCAAATTTTCAAATTCATGTTATTACTAATGTTTTGGCTTTTTAGAGGTGACTTGTGAGTCCGTAATGACAAGAGCAGTAACGCGGTTAAGCTTTTGTTTTTCTGGTCCAGGTTTTATAATCAATTGGCTTTCATGGCATTATGTACTGCAATGTTAAACAGCATTCAATGACACTACATCATTACCATCAATCAGTTTGCCTGGTCCAGGTTTTATAATCAACCAGCTATCATGTTAAACAGCATTCATTGACACACCTGTAATTTTGAAGTAACTATTTCATCCTCACTATCAATCATTGGTTTTTCTGGTCAAGATTTTATGATCAGCCGGCTTTCATGGCATTAATGCAGCGTTAAACGGCATTCACTGACACTCCAGTCATTTTGAAATAACCATTTCATCCTCACTATCAATCATTGGTTTTTCTGGTCCAGATTTTATGATCAGCCGGCTATCATGGCATTAATGCAGTGTTAAACAGCATTCACTGACACACTCCAGTCATTTTGAAATAACCATTTCATCCTCACTATCAATCATTTGTTTTTCTGGTCCAGATTTTATGATCAGCCGGCTATCATGGCATTAATGCAGTGTTAAACAGCATTCACTGACACTCCAGTCATTTTGAAATAACCATTTCATCCTCACTATCAATCATTGGTTTTTCTGGTCCAGATTTTATGATCAGCCGGCTATCATGGCATTAATGCAGCGTTAAACAGCATTCACTGACACACTCCAGTCATTTTCATTTAATCATTTTATCATTACTCTCAGCCATGGGTTGTCTGCACATTGTGCAGACAATTGTTGTAATGCATGTATACTGTAGGTGATATACCAGGGATTATTCTGCATGATGAAACCCAATCACACCAATCATGTCAGGTGTTATCTGTTTTGATGTAGATCATTATGATGTGTAGCTTCTCCTTGATGAGTTAACAGTTTATTGTCAGAATAACACTGTTGTTTCGTCCAATATATTTAAGCCCATCTTATTTCTCTCCCACCATGTCCAGTTAAGCATTCTATGTAATCAAGTTTAATGTTTTCTCTCCCAGACATAGACGAGTGTGCACTGGGTATATCGTCATGTCGTGGCCACTCCGTCTGTATTAACCAGCCTGGATGGTACCAGTGTGACTGTCTTGAAGGTTTCCATAGCAACTGGCCAGACAACCATTATGGCAGCCTCTGTCTAGGTACCAAATGAGTGTGCATGCATAGTGTAATTAGTCATGTGTGTGTTAATTATGTGTTTCTAAATGCATACTTGCATAGAAGAAGATCATTGTCCCTGTGTGAGAATTTAGTGTCTTAGTTATAAGAGATAGGAAAGTGCAGATGTATATATGTGTGAGTATTCATGTTTATGCATGCATGTAAACTAAAGCATGTGTGATACGTGTGAAAGTGTACATGTTTATGCATGTAAACTTAAACATGTGTGATACGTGTGAAAGTGTAAATTTTTATGCATGCATGTAAACTGAAGCATGTGTGATATGTGTGAAAGTGTACATGTTTATGCATGCATGTAAACTAAAGGATGTGTGATACATGTGAAAGTGTACATGTTTATGCATGCATGTAAACTAAAGCATGTGTGATACGTGTGAAAGTGTACATGTTTATGCATGCATGTAAACTAAAGCATGTGTGATACGTGTGAAAGTGTACATGTTTATGCATGCATGTAAACTAAAGCATGTGTGATACGTGTGAAAGTGTACATGTTTATGCATGCATGTAAACTAAAGCATGTGTGATACGTGTGAAAGTGTACATGTTTATGCATGCATGTAAACTAAAGCATGTGTGATACGTGTGAAAGTGTACATGTTTATGCATGCATGTAAACTGAAGCATGTGTGATACGTGTGAAAGTGTACATGTTTATGCATGCATGTAAACTAAAGCATGTGTGATATGTGTGAAAGTGTACATGTTTATGCATGCATATAAACTAAAGCATGTGTGATACGTGTGAAAGTGTACATGTTTATGCATACATGTAAACTGAAGCATGTGTGATACGTGTGAAAGTGTACATGTTTATGCATGCATGTAAACTAAAGCATGTGTGATACGTGTGAAAGTGTACATGTTTATGCATGCATGTAAACTAAAGCATGTGTGATACGTGTGAAAGTGTACATGTTTATGCATGCATGTAAACTGAAGCATGTGTGATACGTGTGAAAGTGTACATGTTTATGCATGCATGTAAACTAAAGCATGTGTGATACGTGTGAAAGTGTACATGTTTATGCATGCATGTAAACTGAAGCATGTGTGATACGTGTGAAAGTGTACATGTTTATGCATGCATATAAACTAAAGCATGTGTGATACGTGTGAAAGTGTACATGTTTATGCATGCATGTAAACTAAAGCATGTGTGATACGTGTGAAAGTGTACATGTTTATGCATGCATGTAAACTAAAGCATGTGTGATACGTGTGAAAGTGTACATGTTTATGCATGCATGTAAACTAAAGCATGTGTGATACGTGTGAAAGTGTACATGTTTATGCATGCATGTAAACTAAAGCATGTGTGATACGTGTGAAAGTGTACATGTTTATGCATGCATGTAAACTAAAGCATGTGTGATACGTGTGAAAGTGTACATGTTTATGCATGCATGTAAACTGAAGCATGTGTGATACGTGTGAAAGTGTACATGTTTATGCATACATGTAAACTGAAGCATGTGTGATACGTGTGAAAGTGTACATGTTTATGCATGCATGTAAACTAAAGCATGTGTGATACGTGTGAAAGTGTACATGTTTATGCATGCATGTAAACTAAAGCATGTGTGATACGTGTGAAAGTGTACATGTTTATGCATGCATGTAAACTGAAGCATGTGTGATACGTGTGAAAGTGTACATGTTTATGCATGCATGTAAACTAAAGCATGTGTGATACGTGTGAAAGTGTACATGTTTATGCATGCATGTAAACTGAAGCATGTGTGATACGTGTGAAAGTGTACATGTTTATGCATGCATATAAACTAAAGCATGTGTGATACGTGTGAAAGTGTACATGTTTATGCATGCATGTAAACTAAAGCATGTGTGATACGTGTGAAAGTGTACATGTTTATGCATGCATGTAAACTAAAGCATGTGTGATATGTCTTTGAGTATATTTATGCATGTGTGGATATGAGAGTATGTGTATGTGTATTTATGTAAACCATGCAAACGATATGTGTGAGAGAATGCATACGCATGTGTGATATGTCTGTGTGAGAGAATATATGTGTGCCTACATGTGTGTTGCCACTGTGAGAAAAAGTGAATGTACATGTGAATGCATGCATGATTACTGTGTTAATGCATAATCGTGAATTGTCTGAATGGGACTTCATGCAAGGGTTAAGGCTGTTGCTATTAAAACTGAGCGTAAGCATGCATGACGATGAATGTGTGAATACTGTGTTAATGCATGCTAGTGAAATAGGTATACATTAGTGCATGCAAAAGTTAACATCATTGCCACATGCTTGCTGTAAAAGGCAACTCTGCTTGTTGTAAGGGGCGACTAATGGGATCAAGTGGTCAGGCTCACTGACTTGGTTGATGCATGTCATCGATCCCAATCGCCTGGATCGATGCTCATAGTGTCAATCACTGGATTGTCTGGTTCAGGTTCGATTATTTATAGACCGCCGTCATAATATTGCTGAGTGCGGCGTTAAACAACAAACAAACAAACAAAAGCATATCAGTCATCTGTGAAGATAATGCACATCTGCATGAATACAGTGCATGATAATGAAATGTGTGTAAATGCATGCAGTGATTATAAAGATGCACATAAGAATCAATGTATGCATGTGCATGTCATCCGAAGAAGACGAATGCATGTGTGCCTAAAAGTATGCATTCAAATCTACGCATTTGTAAGAACTAATCCCTGTGTGCATGCAAGTATGTAACCTGAGGTTTGTGAAACGTATATTTGCAGGTGCATGCATGTGCATGTATGTGGTAAGATGTCAGTCATTGTGTGAGTATGATAAATGCATACCTGTGAATCTGTGTGTACCGGTACACCTGTGAATATCAACGATGCCTGTGTGCATGCATGCAAGGACCTGGTAGATGCTTGTGTGAGTTATCTTATGAATGTGTAGTGGCCATAATGTGTAGTGGTCCTGTGAGGGGATTCGAACCACTTTCTGATCCGGACGCCTTGTCCACATGACCCAAGCAAGCTGACAACGTTTGGATGTCATCTGTGGGATGACTCCATGCCCTGCATCAAATGTATTGAAATGTACCATGCTGTGACAGTGTGATGTGAAATATGAAGTAGATGTGTTTAATGTCTGTCTACCATTCTGCCTGCATTGGTGTGATGTGAAATAGGAAGTAGAAGTGTTTAATGTCTGTCTACCATTCTGCATTTGTGTGATGTGAAATATGAAGTAGAAGTGTTTAATGTCTGTCTACCATTCTGCATTGGTGTGATGTGAAATATGAAGTAGAAGTGTTTAATGTCTGTCGACCATTCTGCCTGCATTGGTGTGATGTGAAATAGGAAGTAGAAGTGTTTAATGTCTGTCGACCATTCCGCCTGCATTGGTGTGATGTGAAATATGAAGTAGACATGTTTAATGTCTGTCTACCATTCTGCATTGGTGTGATGTGAAATAGGGAGTAGAAGTGTTTAATGTCTGTCTACCATTCTGCCTGCATTGGTGTGATGTGAAATATGAAGTAGAAGTGTTGAATGTCTGTCTACCATTCTGCATTAGTGTGATGTGAAATAGGGAGTAGAAGTGTTTAATGTCTGTCTACCATTCTGCCTGCATTGGTGTGATGTGAAATATGAAGTAGACATGTTTAATGTCTGTCTACCATTCTGCATTGGTGTGATGTGAAATAGGGAGTAGAAGTGTTTAATGTCTGTCTACCATTCTGCCTGCATTGGTGTGATGTGAAATATGAAGTAGAAGTGTTTAATGTCTGTCTACCATTCTGCATTAGTGTGATGTGAAATAGGGAGTAGAAGTGTTTAATGTCTGTCTGTCATGCTGCGGCAGTGTGATGTAACTAGAAATTAGATTGTACAATCTTTCATTGTTCTGTTGTTGTAATACAATTGGGTTTGTTTGTGTGGCATCTGTTGCTTTTGTTGTTATCCAGTGGTATTTCTTTTATTTTCCCGTTCTCTGTGTGTGTTGATACGAGTGGCTTCATGCTTCGTTTCACTGAATAGTTTGTTCACCTGTTGTATCTGTATTGTTCATTGACCCAAGTTCTCCTCAGAGGATCCTTTCAACCCACAATCTCTGCCAGCACACTTGTGACTGAAACATCTCATGTGTCCATGTGTCATGCTTGTTGCTTTCTCATTATTTTTAATTGTATTAAACTTGTTCCCATTGTTTTATTGATGTGATATATCCCATGCAATGTAAACTTTTAACACTCTATTCTAATTGCACCAAACCAAATTATGTTCGTTTTTTGCAGACTTTGTCAATATGCCAAAAGAAACGATACAAATCTTTCCAAGTTTGATTTGAGATTAATTCCCCAGAAAAGTTGCCAGATTTAAAGATCTTAAAAAAAACATTTTTTCATCAAACAGCATTTAAGAATTTCTACTTTTGCATGATTAGTAATTAACTCATGTGTAAAAAGCAAGTGAATTGGTATGGCGCTTTGTCTGTAAATGCTGGCCAGCGAGGCGACTTCATTTTGTTGATCATGAATACACTTCTATATTTAAAGCTTCAGAAATGGTTTATCATATGGAAGTTTGCCAATGGATATAGATCATTCTTGGTAAACTGTCGGGGAAAGCTATTGTCAACAAGAAACATCCATAATGTTATTACCTAGAAAGGATATGTCTGGGTAAAACTAACTGATCCCTAAACTTTGTTAGACCAGTGTCTGGACAGTGATGTAATGAATGATCTGATCTTGCTGAATCAGCTTCTTAATGATAAAATCAAATAAATCAAGAATAACATGTTTCTATGGATACACCCAGTCTGTGGGTTTCATTTTTTAGGCATCATTATTGACATTCTCTGTTTTCTCTTTGAGTTACTATCATGTGAAGCTCAGAATCTCACATACAAAATTCTTTCACCTGAGAGTACATTCAACATTAACAGATGTATGAAGAAAGACAAGATTGATAAATCTTATCAAAGTTTTGACTTGCAACACATATATTGGTCTGGCTTGAATGTTCAGTGAGACATGTGTGGTTCATGGAAAAAGGGAGGTAACTCCAGATTACTAACAGTTTTTGTGTACCGGAATGCTATTGATAAAACAGGTGGTATCAGATAAAAATATTTAAGGCTTCAAAAAAATATTTTAAAAAAGTATCTTTATGTGTAAGCTTATCATATTTTGTTCAAAACGATGAAGAATGTGCTATTCAAGTTTTGATTTTGTCCAGATGTGTCATGGATGTTTCTTATATTTGGCTCTCAAGAATTCAATTTTAACCATTTATCAGTTCCTAAAGATAAAAAGAAGGAAATAAGCAAACATGCTTTCAGAAATGATATTTCCTTTCATGTTAACATCTCAGTTTGCCTTTTTAACGTTTATCAGATTAAAGGTCAAATGTCAAATGATAAAAAGTATACTTTTATTAGTCATTCATGCACTCAATGAATATGTATGGTTTGCAAAAAAGTTGATGTTTTTTAAGTAAACAAACCTTATTTTATATAACCTTAAAACATAATGTTTGGGAAAATAAGTATTTCCAGCCTGCGTTGATCAGAGTGATTGTAGTGATTGTAAGTTTGTCATCTTGCTGCAGATATTAATGAATGTGCTGGAGAAGGAAACGGACACACATGTCATCCCACAATGCATTGCATCAATGAGGAAGGATCATATCAGTGTGGATGCATAAACAACAGCACATGTCTGCAAAGTAAGTAGTGTGAGGAGGAGGATCATACAGAAATAGAGGAATGGAAACAAAAGTACCTGTTTTCGCATAAATTTCTTCTTCAGTCAAACATTTGACTCATAAGTTCAAACATTCATGGGCTTAACTCAGTAAAGTTTTGTATCAATACTTTACTGTGTTCTGCTGGCATATCCAAAGGATTGGAAAAATTCAAATAAAGTTGTTACTGAAGCACTAATTGTTGGTCAGTTGGATAATTTGAGACAGATACACGGCCATATTTCACATGTTGTAAAAATATGAATTGACTGAAAAACATACATTTGTGTTTTGACTGTTTGATGTAGACTGTGTGATGTTTCAGACTGCTTGTTTGAAGGCCAGGAACACAAGAACGGTGACACATGGCTCTCCACAGTGGACAAGTGTCTTGCTTGCACCTGTCAGGTAATCTGCTCGTTTGTGCATTCTCATATACACCTGAAAATTTTGAACATCAACACTTTATCATATACCCTGAACTATTTTATATAGAGAATCTTTCACCCAAGCAAGCCTCAGAGTTTTAAACTTTTATTGATTCGTTTTGATATATTTGATATCTAAAGACACAAGTATGAGATTCTATTTATCATTAAAGTCATTCTTTTAACTTTCAGTTTGTAAACAGTAATAAACAGTGTCTTGAGTGTACAATTTGCAGTCCTGGGTTTGAATAGGTTTTCAGCAACCCATGCTTGCCATAAATGGTGACTAAGCTTGTCGTAAGAGGCAACTAACGGGATCGGGTGGTCATCGGAAGTTGTGAGATTATTTACAATTACTTCTAGCAGGTGAGCTACAGTTTCTCGTTACCCCTGCCCAAACCAAGGTGTGCAGGGGATGCAGACACAGGCCCATCAGTCTGTCCTGTTGTCAGAGCATCACCCATAAACCATTCCATATTTCTTCATGAAACTTGTATGCCCAATAGACTTGCACTGAACTGGTGCCTTTTGCTACTGAGGAAATTTTACATTTTCTTTGTGTGTGTGTATTTGCAAGAAAACAGTTTGGTTCAAATGAGGGTAGGGTTCATAGTGTAAATCATTAACTGTACAATATTTCTTTGTGGAACTATTTATGTGCAGTCTTACATTTAAACCCAAACTCTAATGCAGTACTTGAAGCATATCAGATATCAAACATCATACGACCCTGTGGGGATTCTGGGTTAGATAGTACACATTCTTTTTAATACCAGTGGATTATATATATACTTAACAAAAACGTTAGGGATCATCAATAGTTTTTGGGAAATATGTTCACTACAAAAAAATATCCTACCAAATGTTCATGATCCAAAACTTTTTGGGGTCAGTACCAGGGTATATCTTGTGGTTCATGATGACAGTATCACAGAATCACTTCAAGTACATTGGAGGCGTTCAGGTAGCCTTGTGGTTAAAGTATTCGTTCGTCACGCCGAAGATTTGGGTTCGATTCCTGACATGGGTACAATGTGTGAAGCCCATTTCTGGTGTCCCCCACGGTACTCACCCACTCTCTCAAGTACATTATAACCTGGTTGCAACTGAGAAACCAAAAAGACTTCATTCGTCGAGTGTGGAGATGTGAAGCAGATTTTACTGGGGCTTCTTTCAGTCTTTCAAGAATCACCAAGCTGTTGATTTCTGGCCCAGGCAAGCTCCTATAGATATATTCTCATCATTGTTGCCTGAAGAATGTTCTATTGATACCAAACTTCCGGCTGTTGCAAAGGTCATGAACAGTATACACATTTCAGTACAGTATGTTGTTTGGATCCTTTGTTTTAGCTTTGCAAACAGCTTCTGACTTTGATCAGTTGTGAGTGGGGTATTTTTTCTCATCAGAATCACAGCTTTTTTTCTGAAACAATGAATTTTTGGTGATGGTGATTTTATGATAAGGCCCAATTTAATTACCATATTTATCTGTGGAATTGGCTCACTGAGCAAGCAAATTCTATACCAAGCTAGGAGAAAAGTCACACGCTATAAACCAATAGTGTCTATTCATGGGTAATGAGGTGATAACAAGCCATTATTTGCACTTTTTAAAATTATATTTTCATAAGTAGCTTGTCATTTCTACAGCAAAGACTTAAAGTATGAACACTTCTGATACTGAAGATCTTAGAATATAATGTCATTTCTACCAAAGGCTTACATGTTGACATGACTGTCGTACGGATGTTACAGTCTGGGGTGACCACATGCCACAAGAAGGAGTGTGACTGCGGCGATACCGAGGTGGACAACGACTGCTGTCCCTACTGCAACCTGACTGCCCAATGCCCCCACCAGGAGTTCTCCCTCTTCATGCAGAACGGGGAGAGGTGGACCTTCCAGTGTCAGACCTGCGAGTGTCTGGTGAGTTGTGTCAGACCTGCGAGTGTCTGATGAGTTGTGTCAGACCTGTGAGTGTCTGGTGAGTTGTGTCCAGTGTCAGACCTGTGAGTGTCTGGTGAGTTGTGTCAGACCTGTGAGTGTCTGGTGAGTTGTGTCCAGTGTCAGACCTGTGAGTGTCTGGTGAGTTGTGTCAGACCTACGAGTGTCTGGTGAGTTGTGTCCAGTGTCAGACCTGCAAGTGTCTAGTGAGTTGTGTCAGACCTGCGATTGTCTGGTGAGTTGTGTCAGACCTGTGAGTGTCTGGTGAGTTGTGTCCAGTATCAGACCTGCGAGTGTCTGGTGAGTTGTGTCAGACCTGCGAGTGTCTAGTGAGTTGTGTCAGACCTGCGAGTGTCTGGTGAGTTGTGTCAGACCTGCGTGTGTCTGGTGAGTTGTGTCCATAGTCAGACCTGCGAGTTCCTGGTGAGTTGTGTCCAGTATCAGACCCGGAGCGTCTGGTGAGTTGTGTCAGACCTGCGAGTGTCTGGTGAGTTGTGTCAGACCCGCGAGTGTCTGGTGAGTTGTGTCCAGTGTCAGACCTGCGAGTGTCTGGTGAGTTGTGTCCAGTGTCAGACCTGCGTGTGTCTGGTGAGTTGTGTCCAGTATCAGACCCGGAGTGTCTGGTGAGTTGTGTCAGACCTGCGAGTGTCTGGTGAGTTGTGTCAGACCTGCGTGTGTCTGGTGAGTTGCGTCCAGTGTCAGACCTGCGTGTGTCTGGTGAGTTGTGTCCAGTATCAGACCTGCGAGTGTCTGGTGAGTTGTGTCAGACCTGCGAGTGTCTGGTGAGTTGTGTCTAGTGTCAGACCTGCGAGTGTCTGGTGAGTTGTGTCAGACCTGCGAGTGTCTTGTGAGTTGTGTCAGACCTGCGATTGTCTGGTGAGTTGTGTCCATAGTCAGACCTGCAAGTGTCTGGTGAGTTGTGTCCAGTGTCTGATCTGCGAGTGTCTGGTGAGTTGTGTCAGACCTGCGAGTGTCTGGTGAGTTGTGTCCAGTATCAGACCTGCGAGTGTCTGGTGAGTTGTGTCAGACCTGTGAGTGTCTAGTGAGTTGTGTCAGACCTGCGAGTGTCTGGTGAGTTGTGTCAGACCTGCGAGTGTCTGGTGAGTTGTGTCCAGTATCAGACCTGCGAGTGTCTGGTGAGTTGTGTCAGACCTGCGAGTGTCTGGTGAGTTGTGTCTAGTGTCAGACCCGCGAGTGTCTGGTGAGTTGTGTCAGACCTGCGAGTGTCTGGTGAGTTGTGTCAGACCTGCGAGTGTCTGGTGAGTTGTGTCAGACATGCGAGTGTCTGGTGAGTTGTGTCCAGTATCAGACCTGCGAGTGTCTGGTGAGTTGTGTCAGACCTACGAGTGTCTGGTGAGTTGTGTCCAGTGTCAATCCTGTAGTGGTTACACATGGTGACCATGTCCTCTGTTTCAGCAAGGAGAGATAGACTGCTGGCCCCTGGAGTGCCCCGACGATCAGTGTCACAACATGGTGCAGGAGAAGGGAGACTGCTGCCCACGCTGCATTGACGACAACCCCTGCATCAACCCCAACCTGGGGCTGGGGGGTCAGGACCACTCTACCACCAAGTGCATGTATCTGAATCATCAGTTCGGCCACGGTGATTCCTGGGTGCTGGAGAGTGACAAGTGTACATCCTGCGAATGCAAGGTAGACATGTGAAAAGGGCTGACATAAGAATAGAGTAGTCAGTCGTCCTGATAAATTACAGGCCACTGTCATGTAGTTAGTATATCGATGACTGCAGCGGAAAACATCTTGTACGTACTGAATGTTTCTGTTACATCAAAAGTGTTGTAATTATTTTATCATCCAAAACTGGCTCCCACAGGAGATATCACTTGGATGAGATCAAGCGATATCTACACTGTAGATGTCGCTGCAATGAAATTGCATCACAATGCTTTGCAGACCATTGTGACGTCACTGGTTACCATGACGTCACAATCAAATGACATCACTTATAGCTCTGCTACAGATGCTGTTAGCAGTACTTTTTACACTGAAGACACTGCTAATTACTGTCTACAATCTGAAAAAGTCGGAAGAATGATGTTGGATGATAAATAAAATCTCACCCTCGTGTCTTTTGATATCAAATGTATCAACACGAGTTGATAAAAGTGGCAAAAGGCCTCGGCAAGCCTCGGAATTTTTCCACTTTTATCAACTCGTGTTGATATATATTTGATATCAAAAGACACTCAGGTGAGATTCTCTATATCTTCTGATGGTTACATCTGTTGCCCTGCTATGTGTTGGGATGAATGCATCTAATCAACTCAAAAACATGCTGGTTAGTAATCCGAAACATAAGCAACAGGTAGCCCTTCTATATTCTTGAAATGTGAGTACTCTTACTAAAATTATTTCAAATTATGTTTGAAAATTGTTCCAGCAGAACTAAAGGCAATTATGCATTTCACTATTTTTTTAGAATTCTGCTCATGTGCTAGTTGGTTAGTTTGACATTATGTCAACTGGAATTAAGGTGCATATAACTTTCTTATTAAGGTAGCATGAGGCATAGGACTTGTCATAGATTAGACGTGTGTTTTCCCAAACCAGAAGTTATGTGATAACACTAAAATTGTTAATAACTTTGTTTTTTAGTTTATTAGAGGTTGTAATGTATTGTCCTAATCAGAAGTGATGCAACTAAACTAGAACTAAACTATGAGCTAGAGACAGTTGATAACATCAGGGGTCGAAGGTGAATGTGTGTAATTATTGGTGAGGTCAACTGTCACCTGATTTGGTGAAATAAAAATGATCCATGATACATGCTTCTTGTGGTAAAGTTTTGTGGCATTCAGGAAAAGGTGGGGAAGGGGATTCTTTTCTTTTTGCATAACGCATACTGCAAATACCTTGTTTTCTTTTCTGAAATTTTGAGTTGTGTTCTGAAAAAGACGTCACAGCTGTCAATCTATCACAGGGTGGTTAGCTCAGTTTTGTTGAAAGATGGTCACATCTGTTCTGTAGCTGGACTGTTAGCTCATGTCTGTTATCACATATTCTTACATCTATTCTGTAAAAAGATGATCACACCTTTGTTCTGTTACAGGCTGGTCACATCTGTTGTTCCTTCAACCAAACCTGCTATGCTGAGGTTGGCCTACCTACTGCCGCTCCCCAAGACCAGATCTCCCTGGGATAGTATCATCCAGCTGAAGCTGACCTGGACCAGATCAAACCAGATCATCCCATTTGGACCAGATCAGACTGGTCAACTGTGCTATGACCAGATAAAACTTGATTAATCTGGAGTGATCCACCTTGGACCAGATAATCACATTGCTATGATCAGATAAATATCTGGTATGAATATAGATTCTGTTTTATTTTGTTTCATGTTGACTGACTGAAATAAGTTTTGCACTTTGAATTCTTGATGGCTGTAATGTTGTTTAAAAATTACCTCAGACTCTGCATCGGCTCGATCTGCTCTTCACTGTAGGGATTGCATACAGGAGACTTAGCTGCTCATGCATGTCACGGAGCAGGCTGTCAGTGGTTTGGAAAACTCACAAGATGTGACAGCCAATAGAGCTTCATCAGGAACAAAGGGCTACGGAGGTGGAGTCTTTATGATTATGGAAATGGTTTTCTTGATTTTATGTTAGGATATTGGACAATTTGGACATCGTTGTCTTTCTTGAATTTAGCAGTTGTGTCATCTCTGCTCAGAATGCTCTTGGTATAGTCCTGCTCCTCCAGGACTTCCTTTATAACAGGAAACAGAGTCTGTGGAAATTGTACATATTCATGTCCAACTGGTGTAGCATGTCTTCTCAGAAGGCTGTTGAGATCACTCTGCTCCTATGGAACAAAAAACAATGACTGTGGAAATTGAATATCATCCTGATTTCAATTAATGCAACATCTCCTGCTCAGAATGCTGAGATTGTCCTTTTCATGTAGAACAGAGGACAGAGTCCACGGAACCAACCTGATGCATCATCTCCTGAATAGAGTTCTGTGGAGATTGTTTTAATGACGTAGACCAGAGGGCAATCTATACAAAATCCAACTTATGCATCAGTTCCTGAGCAAAATGATCTCAGATCCTTCTTGAGGTATTGGAGTCAGGGTTGTTTCCAACTGTCCTAGCCATCTTGATATGTTGTGAGATTGGACATGGCGCTAATACTGAGAACACTGGATGCTGGTACTGAAGCTGGGACAGCTTGTTGCTATTACCATGTTTGTGATAATGTGATACAAGATGTGCTTCAAACACATCCAGATGATTCTTAAAAACACATCCAGATTATTCTTGTTAGAGATAACTTTTTGTCATCAAACTTCTTAAAGGATATTTTGTTTTGGAAATGTGTTTCTTGGGATCATCAGTGAAACAGCACATTATGCATGAAATATTGGTACATGAGAATTTAACAAAAGTATCACTGCATGGATTTAGAGACCATTTTGACACCTTGACCCAAGCAAATGTGTTTACGTGATCTCTGCTTCTGTAGTTGTTCCAAATTGATAAATAAATTATTGATACAAAATTTGTAGTAATTATTTTATCAAAATATAGAATATTTATAAAATTGGGCTTGGAACAGCTATTTTAGTGAAAAAATGATGACAAAAGTACTATTTTCCTGCTGACTCCAGGAAGACGAGTTGCTAGTAATTATCCTGAAAGTAGTCTTGCTATGACACATGTATGATATTACTGTTTTTGTCACAGTGTGTGTGATGATGATCAGCCTTACCTCATTGGGTGTATACGGTAGATACCTACAGTTTAGCTGTTTGCTTTCTATTGTAATATATTTGAATTTCATGTTTTTATAGTGTTGATATGAATTATTTATGAATCAGTTTTGTTCTGATTTTGATATTATGTATCATAGAATTGTCATTGCATAATTTACATAATTACATATTATTCTCAGATACTGTATTTAGTAGTTCATAATTTCAATGGTATGGTTGTCATTAATTGATTACTATTAATCATAATTATCATCAAAAAGTATAATAACAAGCTTTCTGTTATATATTTCATTTCAAAGTACCTTTTACTTCCTAGTGTTCAAGGGATAGCTTTAAACTGAACTGACTTAGTCTTATTTCGTATGGAATGTGGATAGTTGGTGTTATGAAAAGTGATGACATATATTTTTAAAATAGAAATAAAGATATAATGTATGTGACATAATAACTGTCAAATTGTTCTCACAATGTCTATCAGTTGTTGTTTACCGATAGGTTGATAATTGAGTTATTTAAATGAAGTTTACTTATAAGTGGTAGAAAGAGATTAGATTTTTATGGTTAATTGGATGTTAAAATATTTAGCTTTGTCTAATGGTAATGATAAAAAATGTTGTATATTAATATTACCGTATTCGACGTAATAAGCGCCCAGGGCGCTCTCAAAATTAGAAATAGGGGGCTCTTATTAGAATATTATTTTGGTGGAAAAAAACAGAGTTGAAAGATAAATTTCGTGGTTTGTGCTGACAGCCTGAAATGTTTATATACGACAGATATATTTTTCAAGATTTTAATTGCCCATAATTGAGGGTTCATATAGCACACAAGTGCGTATTATACGCGAATAAATAAGTCTTGTGTACATTGATAAATCGGAAGGGGTGCTAATTGGGATTGTTCACTAGCCAATATATGAGCAAATATCGCCGTGGGCACTTATTTGAGCGGGGCGCTTATTACGTCGAATACAGTAGTATTAATAGAATACAGACAGAATACACTGTATCATACCAGGTTGGAAGAGTTCAATCCAAAGAAATCAGCTGATGTGTATCATCACAGCTTAAGTCTGCAGTTTATATTAAACTGGACAATGTGTGCTTATATTTCCCTAGACTCTACTGCTTGATGAGAATGGTTGGTTTAGGTTGTAGATATATATGCTGACATACTTGAAAAACCCAGTTTTCTTGTTTCTGTATGTCATCCATTTAGTATGCCTATACTAACTGTTTTAGTTCAAATAAAATAAAAGTGTAAGTATTATAAATGTTTAGAATTTGAAATGCATTTGTTTATGGTATTGAAGGCCATAGTTTTGTTTTGTTTTGTTATTGTCTCTCTGGTTACAGATGTCACATTATGAATACCAACATAATGAAATCAATCCAATTTTGTTCACAAAAAGATTGGGATTATTTCTTTTGAATTTTTTGTAACTACAACTATTTCCTTTGTATGAGTGTAGATGAAACAGGGAGATTCTTACAGAGATCAATGTTAGAACATTTCACAAAACTTGATTTTACTGACCGTATTCGATGTAATAAGTGCCCAGGGTGCTCTCAAAATTAGAAAAAGGGGGCTCTTATTAGAATAAAATTTTGAAAGATAGTAAATTTTGTGGTTTATGCTGACAGCCTGAAATGATACAAAAGAAAAGTCTGTGCGTATTAAAACAACCCGAGTGTGTATTATACACGAATTAATAAGTCCTGTGTACATTGATCAATCAGAAGGGTTGCTAATTGGGATTGTTCACTAGCCAATATATTAGCAAATAGCGCCGCTTATTTGAGTGGGGCGCTTAATACGTCGAATACGGTATTCCTGATGAAGGTTAGTCTGCATCACAGTCTCTGAACAATGTTTCTTTCCCTTCCACCCAGCTCTCACTGTCATGCTTGAGTCCTAAATGAAGCAAGTCTAGATTTTACACATGTTCACTGGGGCTCCTTTTCAATTTATAAACAGTTTGTTTCAATCAAAATCATTTTTCAGACTGAGCGTTAGTCTAGATGAAAGGATAGGATAAACAAGATTATGTTTTCATATGATCACTTAGTTTTAGCTGATTAATTTTAGCCTTGTGAATTCAAAATTATATGCGAATAAGGCTAAAAAAATAATCTTGGTTCTCAGGCACCGCCCGCATCATCATACAGTCTGCCGCACGTTTTGTTTTTATTTACATTTGCAAAAACATTAAATAATTCTAATACTTAAAAAAAATGTGATCCAATATAGCCATCAGTTACTTCCCTTTACATGCACACTGCTTTGCTGCGCATCTTGTGTTATGGTCATGGCGGCAATAAGAGTTTGTATGCTTATTTATATAGGGACGCCCTTTCCCAGGTTGATGGTACACAACTGTTTATTTTACATACTAGTTTGAACAAGTAAAAAAAACAAAAAAAATTGCCTCCGCACTTTATTTTCAAAAGTCATTGCCGGAGAACCAATTCTTTTATTTTTTTAAGCCAGAAGTATTTTTTTTTTCTCCCTGTGACATATGATATCAGCTTAAGGAACAGTTTTCATTTCTGTGTAAGACTAATTACTTCCAAAGTTTGTGTCAGTGTGCTAGCCTCTGGTCTTATGAACAGATTTAATTATTAAAAATTGTGTTTAATTGTTGTGAACAATTTCAGGAAATTCATGTGTGCACAAACCAAGACTGAAATTCTAAAGAAACTTGAGAATTGGTGTTGTGATTTGACAAATTATTTTTGCACGAGTAACTAAGCTTTAAGCACCAGATAGTGATGTCAAGTGATTGCCATTTAACAGATAAAGTTTGTCTTTAATATTTGTTTTTCTACAGTGTGTTGGATTAATTTTTCATGAAGTTGTATCTTTATCATGCATGCAAACCCTCTTCTTTAAGTATGTTTTGTTACCTGCTTATCATTGTATAAAGGCTATGTTGGTGTTCATTTTCTTTAGTGTTGATCATATTCGTTTAACAAATTGCCAAATTTATGTTAAACATTTAAGGCTTTCCATTGATCTAGAGCCCTGTATATAAAATTAAAAGATTTTTTTTTAAGTTTTATTTTTAACCATAGGCGCTGTAAGTAAGTAAGTAAGTAAGTAAGTGAACTTGATGATGTACTGCATTTAAGTTGGATCGTGTACTCATTGTGAATTATTGGTTAAATGGGGAATCTGATTTTGTTGCATATTTAGTATCTATATTCCCTAATTTAATGGTGCTTTTTTAACATGTATGTTATGTGTTGTTGTATGATTTGTATCATAGGTTTTTTTTCTACAAAATACCTCTCATTAGTTAATACACCAGAAATGTGGAATATCTTTAATTCTATAGACTAGATATGTACTAGAACGTGTTTCTTACTTTTTTATGCAGATATTTGGATGATTTCAAAAATTCAAATTTAATTTAAAACTTTAACATTTTGTTTTAAAGCATGTTAATTTGTCACAGAAATGTTTTTGATTCACTGTTTTACATGCTGTTCATGAATTCATGATTCAATTGGCTTCATGATAAATGAGAAGTGGAGACAATGCTGTTTGGCCTGACTGTTTCACTTCCATCAAGCTGTCAACAGCTGTTATTGTGGTGAAAGGAATATTATGCAATAATATTCCTGTTTAACTTGGTTAATGCACATTTCTGATATCTTAACTGTAAGATCTCATCGTTGCCATAGTGAGCCAATGCTTGTGTTACTGTTGTCTGGCCACTGGGGGCACACCCGGGGGACCCATGGTGCCATACTTCGCGTCAACTGGAAGAAAATACTGTTTCTAAAAAACAAAATCTGACCTCATCTCCTTGTTGTTTTATAACCCTGTAACGAAGCCATAAACAAGTCCATTATCGAGAAATATACTCTTTACTTATTACATGTAATGAATCACAATGTACATTTAAGACTGTTCTTTTGAATATATATGATAAATATTGTTTTAGTCCTAGTTGTTAAATTTACCAGCCAATGCCATGAGAGAGAGAGTACTATTTGTGCGTGTATAGCTGGGTTGGTTACACTTTCTGCATTTAAGATCTGATTTCCAAGATTTTTTGTGTCATGTCAGAGGTCTGTGTTGATTGGGTTTTGAATTGCCGATTCTTAAGCAGTTCTAGAGCCATAAGATTTCTAAATTAAGTTTTCTTATGTCGGCTGATTTTGTAAATCGGTTTATTAAAAAAATAGAAGGCGCTACTGGTACCACCAATCAGTTGAAACCGTTTAATATCATGGAAACAAATTGGTCACTGATATGTCCATATCCTTCCAAAGACATTTCATACAGATGAATATACTACTCAAAAGAAGTTAATAACACCTGATTCTTTCATATTAATACAGTTAATCTGTCATGCAGTTAAAGAACACCGATTCTTTCATATTACTACAGTTAATCTGTCATGCAGTTAAAGAACACTGATTCTTTCATATTACTACAGTTAATCTGTCATGCAGTTAAAGAACACTGATTCTTTCATATTACTACAGTTAATCTGTCATGCAGTTAAAGAACACTGATTCTTTCATATTACTACAGTTAATCTGTCATGCAGTTAAAGAACACTGATTCTTTCATATTACTACAGTTAATCTGTCATGCAGTTAAAGAGCACTGATTCTTTCATATTACTACAGTTAATCTGTCATGCAGTTAAAGAACACCGATTCTTTCATATTACTACAGTTAATCTGTCATGCAGTTAAAGAACACTGATTCTTTCATATTAATACAGTTAATCTGTCTTGCAGTTAAACAACATCGATTCTTTCATATTACTACAGTTAATCTGTCATGGCATGTCTTTAACTTCTTTTGGGTAGTATATATACTGAAGTGCCATTAGACTATCCTGTATATGAGGACTATGTACTTAGTTGTTATTTTGATATATTATTGGTGTGAATTTATTTGTGTATGCTCTAATTTATTTGTAACTTGTGCATGCACTGTGCCTGTATGTGTCGAGTCTGTGCTGCGCGAACTCACCGTATCAGAGTGGGGTTCCCCTGGACGGTGGCTGCTGTCCTTGAACGAGGAAATAAGTCAAAATCTGAAGTAGTAGTTGGTTAAAGGCGGTGTTATAAGTTCACGTCACACTTGTTAATTGAGAATACAGATTATCCTGGTGGTTGCACCTCCTGCATGCTGTAGAACCTTGCACGGACATGCACCCCTAGGGCCCTGGGATGGCAGTATTGGCATTTGATTGGAGTGAACGGAGTCAAATGAGGCTAGCACATACTGGCTATCAGGGATGATTTTATTCAATCTGACTGTGTTAACTCAGGACAGAACCTGAAATAGAACACTTAAATGCGACCAAGGACATAATGTCAAATGGCTGTCAGGAGGCGAATAAATTATGAATTATGAATTTATATGATGATAAACAAAACTGATATGGGTTAAAAAGTATTTTATTGACAAAGCTGCCATTGTATTTTTCAATTTAATGTATTTAAACAACAAGTTCAAAATAATGCACAGAACATCAACCAGAGGTGCAAAATCAACAAGTTTCACTATTGATTCTAAAGTATTTATCTCAACAAAGTTGTTCTCCACCGATTCATATCACATTATAGAAGTACTATAAATGCCTAGTTAATTATAGTTCTTGAAGTGCTTTTTTTCATGATTGAATCAATCAATAAAAATATATAGCTTCAACAATGATGTCATTTACCCAGGTCTTCAGAAGATATGGGCAATTCTGGTCAACATAAGTATG